ACTATTCAACTAAATATCAAAGTTTCGAGCCTTAGCAGTGTGGAGGATATGCTATAAAACGTAGTCGATATTTATCGATTTTCGATTGTTAACATACATCATCTATAAGCTGCTTAATGTCTTTTATAGGCCAACTTATATTCATCAACTGAGCTATCATCTACTTCTATGCATGTACGTTCCAAGGACATCGCTTCCCTTCCAATATTTATCGATTTGCAGAAAATTGAAGATATTACTGATAAACCCACATTGTTCAGATCTTGTCACTTCATCTATAAACACTTTCAACACTCAAGCGATATTGATCGATTCTTGGGATAGTGGTAAGATTAGGGTTAGGCAGGTTAAAATATCGATAACTATAATCAATATTTATACATATCACAAATTAAAGCTATTGTGTCCTACCAAGTCTGTTTAGTTAATTCAATCTTCAATATACATAATTAATATCAACATTTCAAAGACCTTGATACTGTAAATCGATAATTAGAAAATAAATTCAATGAATGTAGCCTAATGGAATTGCCTTGCTGGGCCTTTGAATATACCCTCTTTTGCAGCATTTTCAATTGGCATAGCGTGTAAAAGCTGTTGCAACTGTTTGTCGCGTTGCCGCAGCCTCTCTAAGAGCGACTTGCTGTGAGATTTTCTCGCCAGTCAGCCCCCTTTCCCCATCCCCCTCTTTCTCTCCCTCTGGCCCCCTCTTCAGTTGACAGCTGCTTTTACATTTTCATTGCAGACACCGCCAAATGGTTTGGGAACAACATTTTTCCTGCTCATTTCCCTTGCAGCACCAGCGGCAGCTACAAATGACAACTGCGACGGCGACTGCGACTGCGACTGCAGCCAGCTCGGAAACATGTTTTGTCATTGCTGCAGCAGTTAACCCTTGCTCGCCTACCCTTAACCCGGCCCCACACACTTGGCCCCCTGCCGCTGCAATTGTCTGTCGTCCTTGTTGTTGCCGGATTTGATTGCCGTAGAATTGCAATTTGCGCCAACAGAACAGAGCATCAGCGTCAAATCATTATAATTTCTTCGTCGGGATTTTATTTTTTCTATCCTGCTGCCAGGACTCCCAGGCCCCAGCTCGGTTGTGTCCTGGGCGCTTTTCATATTGTTTTTCAGTGCTTGGCAAGGATTTAGCTAAACGACTTTTGGCTGGGCTGCAATTCTCTTTGTCAGCCGAATATTTGTGGAAATTAAGGCTTAGATTGGACTAAAGCGGTTTGAGTAATTAAGCGAGGCCTTTGGAGATTCTACTGTCAAAGGTGAGTGCGGGGATGGAGTGAGTTAGGATCTATAATGAGGAAAATATGCAAATGCAATTATTATTCGGAACTGAATCTGTGATTTGATGTGAGATATTACGGCGGAAAAAAAACCGGGGATGGGCGAAAGAATACTGAGGTTTAGTCAGAGCTTATCAAAGGGCTTAACCTTAAATGACTTTGCGGTGCAACTAGTTCAAGGTGGAAGACAGATCAAGTTTAGGGACCAACTTTTAGTCTATAATCAGCAAATGCAGTCAGGCATTGGTTTTTCGATTCCATATTCTTTAATCTATAGTTCTTCACTAACATATCTTCTTCAATTTGTGTTTATTATTAGAATATCTTGAGCTTTTTAATCAGTTTTAATACTCGGAACCCATTGAAATTGGGTAATCAGGGTATTGTCATTATATTTTGATAACTTATTGACGTAAGCTTTATAATTATTCTGATTCTTTGACTACTTGAATACTCTTACTATCATTTTATAGAGTTTCCTCAACATTTTCTATTTAATATATAAATCTCAAAGTTTCTTCTCTTGCATTACCTGATTAACTGATTAGATTCTTATCACCTTCCGATATTTATTGCTCTTTATACGTATATAATCTATGATCAACTCTGATTATTTTATCGACCTAACTAACTTCTGCTTCATAGTTTTATAGCATAAACATATTTTAGAACCGAAAGCCTCCGGATATTTCCACTCTAAACTAACTAAACTAAGCTAACGCTCTCAAAAATTCCCCTTAGAATTTTGTAAACAGTTTTCCTGTTGCAATTTATGTGCTCTATTTAAAAATTCCTCAATTTGCATAGTTCGTAGTTCGCTCACGGTACGTCTCCCTCCCCAATGTGCCCTATCGCCCGCTCTATCTATCTACCAGTTGCCGTGTAAATAATGGCATTAATTATTAAAGTTGGTATTAAAAACTTTTGTGGCCTTTGTCAAGTTAACAACTCACACAGGCCGCAAAAACTATGCGAGCGAGGACGATGAGGTCCCTGGGCGAAATGTCCTTGGCTGCCATCAGGCGAGTCATAAAATATGGTCAAATGACACACACACAGACCGACTGACACACACACACAGAGAGAGAGAGTGACTCGAAGTTGGCTTCGGTTTTATGGCTGTTGTTTTGGCCGCCTCTTAATTGCCGCAGTTAGACAAACGTCCAAACAACATGTGTAACGTGCCACGCCTTGTTACGCCCCTCTCCTACACACACACAGAAACCACAAAGTCAACTACATAAATTCTTAACTTCACTTTGGCGCAGAGCTTAACATTCCGTCTAAACATTTGCATTCGACTGCATTTTGGCCAATTTTCAAATTTTGCGATTTTCCGAAAATTTCCCCTTACCCCATTCAAGCGCGCAATCAAAATGCCTGCACATTTAGGCCTAGTCGGCGAGAAAATTACCGCCGCCAGCTCTATATGGGGAAAATATTCTATTAATTTTGGCCAGGCTAATTTGGCTGCAGCCATTTGGCAGGATGCGGCGGCTCTCAAAACTCTTCGTCTCTGTTCAGGGCGACTCTGATTTATGTTCATTTAGGGGGTAAAGTCGCCCACGGGCTGATATCTTGATTACAAGTGGGAAATATGTCGCCCAACACCGCCCACGCCCCTCCCAGCCACAACTCTGGCGCAAGGCGCAGACCGAATGCCCGCAGCGTTGTCGTCGACGCTGCAAATAATTTTCTCTCTTTCCTTCCTTTTTTTTTTTTTTTTTTTTAATTTTAAGCATGCATTAATGCGCGTGTAAATGAGTGAGAGTGTGTGCGTGTGTGTGTGTTTGTGTGTGGGTGTGTTTTGCTCGCGGCATCAGCTCTCCTCGTTAAAAGTTCAGTTGAGTTCAAAGCTAACAAGCTGGAAACTATCAAGCTAACGGCCTAGTTGGCCAGCAAGTGGGCGCCACCTGTCGTACAATTAATCAAACAGTGCAGCTGATACGAAAATGGAATGTGGAATTGAGTTTGGAAAACTAGAGAAGCGTGTGATTGAGAAATGTTTGGAATATATGAGAAGCTATAATCTAAATTAAAATTTAATTATTTAAAAATTCATGGCCAAATATAAATCTGTAAATATGTTAATATAGGATCAATTAATATAGGATCAATTCTCAGTCTGTTGCATAAGGCTTTATATATTCCTTTGTCAATATCTTCTCTTAGTTATTAGCCTATTTATATCGACAATTGTTTCTATACTTCTAAATATCATCATCTTTCATAAGCAAAAACAAAATCTTATCACATAAATTCCTACTTCAAATAAAAAAGTTTCCACTTGGAACTAGTTCGGCTTTGAAACAAGCCAAAACTTGACTTGAAATACGACCAATCGATTCATTGTTTTGGCAACGAATCGCGTAATTAACGCCAGGGGCAACAATAAAAGGCAGAGAAAGAAACAACACATAAATAAAAGGTGCAAAACAAAATGATAATGAGTCGACAGGCAAAAGTTATTTATATTACCGCTAAAGCCCTTTGGGCGAAGGACAAACTTTTTTGTTGTTGCTGTTGCCGTTGTTGTTGGGCTTTTCCGCAATGCACATTCGAAAAATTCCAACGGAAATGCCAAAAACAATTGCCGTGGCTAATTGCCAGTCTGACAGTTGGCGAGCGAACACAGGTGCAAAATGGAATGAGAAAAGCAACATATCGACATTCATATAAACCAAGTCAGTCGGCAACAACAACAGCAACAAAAGCAACTGAACTGAGTGGCGATAATAAAGCGCATGCCAAATTGACCATGATCAAGCAGCGAGAGAGAGGGAGAGAGAGAGAGAGAGACCTAGGGAGATGGCTGGTAAAGAGTGGAGACCATTGTTGAGTGGAGAGCGACTGAGCGTAGGCGTTCACTCAAGCGGCGCCAAGTACCGCAAGCCCAGTTTGTAGAACGAAGGAAAATCTACATGTGACCAGCTAAACGATTAAATCATTTGTGATTATCAGAGCTGGACAAGCAAAGGCGCCCAGAGCGAGGAGAGTACAAATTGGAGAGTGAGAGAGCAGCAGAGCAAGAGAGTGTGCTTCTAGCATAAAAGTGTAGATTCGATATGGCGAATGGGCTAGAAGAGAACAACAACAGCAGTAGTTACATTCGATAGTGAAGAAGTTCCAATATTTATGTTTAAAATGTGTGAATATTTGCAGGCTAAATTCAATTGGATATTGCCATAGCTAATATGCGATGTAGTAGACAAATAATATGCTATATTCTTATATATTTTATATATTGAATTAAAAATAGATTGTTTACACATTAAAGAGTCCATCATATCTTAGCTTTCACTGTAGTCGCTTTATCTTTTTAGCATACCAATAAAATGAAATTCTTTTCTTTTATTCTACCTGCTAGTTCTACTAAAGAAATCAAGTCCTACAACATTCACACAATTTTTGCTAATCCAAGTGTACGCTTTAGCGAGTGCTTACTGTTTTCTGCCAACAAGGCAAATTGCAAACCAATTGCAAAAACTTTTGGTCTAACAGCAATTATGTCGGTGTGTGTGTGTGTGTGTAGACTATTCACATGTTTGTGTGGGCTTCACATGCATGTGCATATTTATACTTGACTGTGTGTGTGTGTTTGCTGCCAAATAGCGGCAGTTTAAATCCAGTGAACACCCCCCCCCCCCMCVCACACACACACACACATAGACACAGCTGTTCAACTGTTTCTTTTGTGCTTACCTCCTGCGTAATGTCCAGTTCATGGCGTGTGTTATCGTAGAGGGTTTCCAGCTCCTCGCACTTTTGCTCCAGTGCCGACTTCTCCTCCAGCAGCGAGAGGCCATATTGTGCAGATTGAGCGCTGGCGCTGGACACCTGATCGAGTTCGCGTGTCAGTCGCTCCACTTCCAAGCGCAACTGCTCCACAACTGGTTGGGCGTCAGCGTTGGCGCTGGGGCTGGACATGGTGAGTGGGCGGAGGTGGTGACGGGGGGACGAAAAGGGAGTGGGAATGTGTGTGTGTGTATCGGTGTGTGTAGCTTAAGGACGGTACCACGGTCTATATACAGGCGTGGCGAATGCAGCTGCTCCTGTTGCTTGGGCGGAATCGTCGTCAAATTGTTTTTGTTATTTTATTTATTTATCTTGTTTCTTTTTTTTGGAGGGAAATCAATAAAAAAACTGTTTTTATTGTGTTGTTGCTGTGTTTTTTTAGTGCTTTGGCCGCTGTTGCTGTCCAACTCACACCTACACGCAAGCTTCTCCGTGTGTGCGTATGTGTGCGTGCGTTCGTTTCACCTTTTCTCTTTTGTGCTGCTATTCACACTGGCAGCTGAGCGGTGGAATGAAAATTGGAATTTTTTCTTTTCTTTTATATTTTATTTTTTACTTTTTTCTTCTGCTTTGCCAAAAATTAATTCACCGTCACTTGTCGCACTTTTTGGCTACCTTCAACAGGATCTATCATACGGCAAACAGTGGGAGGACAGAGTGGGTTTCACAGAGAAAGAGAGAGCGAGAACAGGAAGTTTCAATTCACAGAACGGTCGACGTCTCTGCTGCTGCCGTCGTCGTCGTCGACATGACATCACACGATTTCCACTTTCATTTTATTAATTGTTGCTGTCCAGACGAGCCGTGGTAGCCAACAAACTTTAGTTGTATGCTATATACATATATGTAGTACGTATTTTCGTTGCACTTGAGACGGAATTTGTTTGGAGCAATTTGGTAAAATTGCTAATTAAAGAAGTTAAAATCGACAAGTTCTTCGAATGCAAAAACAAAACTCCGCAATCACGGTCCGTGCGTGCGTATCTTCTTCTTTGCACACACACTGTTTGTGACGGAATGCGAATTAGTGATGTCAATAAGACATTGTAGCGGTGAGCCATGGCAGTCGTTGCGATAGTTGGATATATATTTTGAAATCATAATAAAAAGAATCAGATATTAAATAATTTGAATTGATAGGTCCATAATTAAACTAAATAATATTGTGATTATTGTATAATAAATGTGTAAACAAGAGAATATGCTATATTATCGATATATCGCTTTGATATGTATACGATATTAATAGATGGCGATAGTTGATACTAAAGTTACAATAATTATTGTTTTTTATTGACTGTATAAATATAATAATAATTATAAACCGTTTTTATTGTATATAAATAGTTATTTCAGTGCGTAGAGCATGCGATATATTGCTTCCATTATCGATAAGCTACAGTAAAGCAGAGTGTACACACTGTTCGATACAAAGACAAGGACAGCTGATTTCGTTTGGCATGCAATTCGACGTCCGTGCTGAGATTTAAAATTATTTTTAGTTTATAATAAAGACACCTGCGTAACAGTAGCAACAGCTGAACATTCAAAACAATTTAGTAGCTCTAGTAGCCTGCGTGTGTCTAGACAAAAAGCATAAGCGTGTGTATTGCACAAAAATGTTAGAAGCTGTCATTGCGAAATTCTCAGCAGCAGCGGCAGCAGCAGACACAACAGCAGCAGCAGCAACAACAACAGCAGCAGCTACAAAAGCAACAACGGCGGCCGTTAAAAGACAGTAAAATATAAAAATCACATAGGTGTGAAACAAATTGCATAGCCATCAATTGAGATTGTAACAAATAGTAAACATTTTGTGCATGGAGCAACAGCAGCTGCGAATCGCAATCGAATTTAACTGTTGAAAGAGGAACAAACAGAAAGGTGTGCGAACAGCTGCGTTTTTTGGGAGACTGGCGTAGGCGTTGACGTTGGCGTTGGCGCTGGGCAGCGCGTAGGCAGCGGGCTAAAACAGCGTGCACACTTACTCACACACACACACACAAAGCGCGTATATCAAAAGCATAACAAACGTATCAGAAGAGACTATGGAAATGCGAGAGGTTTTAAGTCGTGAGGGACGCGAGGCGAAGAATTTGCTTGTCTACCAGTTTTGCGATGAGACAACCGCAAGCGGCGTCGGCGTCGGCGCTGGCAGAGATGGCGCTGTAATCAATGGAGACTGTAAGTTGAAGTTTTGTTATTATTAAATATATATTTATGAATACCCTTTGTGTGAAGGGTATAATAGATAATGGCGTCTGCCTTTATATGATTCATATAAATCTCTGATTTGCTTGGAATGCAGAGCGAGGGAGTAAGAGATAGCCTATCTATTATTACTCCTATTTATAGGATATATGAATGTCATATCGTTCATTTTATTTAGTTAACACAGAGCGAGGCTTGTCTGCCTTTTCTGTCTCTTGATTATTTAAATAATTTTTTATTAAAAATTAAGCTTGCGTATATACAGGGTAACTTATAGTATAACCTGATGATTTTGCAACTAAAATCTTATTTGTTTTAGGCTATCCGACGCCCACAAGCCGCAAGCCGCCAATGGCGCCGCCGAAATCGCCAAATGGCATGCAAACGCCCAAACACTGCCAATCGCCGACGACGACGGGGGCGGCAGCACGATCGAAGCCGGGCAGCGCCGGTCTGGCCGGCTCCAGTGGACCGCGTGTGCGCAGCGCCTCGACCGGACGGGACAAGAAGTCGGAGCTGCAGGCGCGCTACTGGGCGCTGCTCTTCGGGAATCTGCAGCGCGCGGTGAACGAGATCTATCAGACTGTTGAGTGCTACGAGAACATATCCAGCTGCCAGGAGGCGATCCTTGTGCTGGAGAACTATGTGCGCGACTTCAAGGCGCTCAGCGAGTGGTTCAAGGTCAGCTGGGACTACGAGTCGCGCCCGGTGCAGCAGCGCCCCCACAGCCTCGCCTGGGAGGTGCGCAAGAGCAATCCCACGCCGCGCGTGCGCACCAAGAGCCTCTGCAGTCCCACAGCCTCGGGCAAGTCCAGTCCGGCGCTCTTTCCCTGCAACTCGGGCAAGACGTCGCCCTGCTGCGATGGCCACGTGACGCCGAAGAAGCTGCTGCGCGCTTGCGACCCGTTGCCGCGCGGCGCAATGCGCGTGAATGTCCGCGAATTGTTCTCCTCCAATAAGTCACGCAATGCACGCGGATCACCCAATTCGGATGTGCAGGAAGTGCAGGAGATGCAGGAGGTGCAAGAGGTGCATGAGCTGCAGACTCCGCAGTTGGAGCTGCAGCCTCCGCAATTGGAGCTGCAGCCTCCGCAATTGGAGCTGCAGACTCCGCAGTTGGAGCTCCAGACTCCGCACTTGGAGCTGCAGACTCCGCAATTGGATCTGTCTGATGACAAGTCGTATGTGGAGTTGAATACACAATATTCCCAGACGGATCTGGAAGATCCGCACTTGACGCTCGCCGATTTGCGTGAGAAGATGGCCAGGGAGAAGGAGGAGCGGGAGGCGGCGGAAAGGGAGAAGGCGGAACAGGAGCTGGCTGAAAAAGAGGCAGCTGCCAAGGAAATAGCTGATCAGGTGGCGGCTGAGCAGGAGGCGGCTGAGCAGGACGCGACTGAGCAGGAGCGAAAAGTGACTGAAGCGGAAGCCGCTGTGAAGCAGCTGGCGGGTAAGTTATAACTGCTCATAAAAGACTACAGTTTGTATTTCTTTCACCTATTTCGAAAGATAAATATCTAATACGTTTGTTTTTTAGGTTTGCCAGCAGCTCAGCCAGCAATTCAGCCTGCAATTCAGCCTGCAGCTTTTGCAGAAACTCAGCAGCCAGCCGTAAACGTTCCCTTACCCGAGCACATCCCACAGCCGCCACTAGCGCCTGCCGCAACACCCTTGGCTGTCGTCGAGCCCACGGCAGTGCAGTTGACTGTCAGCCGCTTGGATGCCATGGAGAATGTGTTGCTGCATGCGCAGGCCAACAAGCAGCCCACGCCGCCCAACACATTGCTCAAGCCCGTGGCTGCCCTGCCCGAGAGGAGGCAGCCGGAGAAGCTGCAGCAGCTGAGCAATGCGCCAGCCATGCAGAATAGTCCCTTGAAATACTCGAGTGTGCTGAATCGTCCAGCTGCCATGCGTGGCAGCACTCCCAGGGCAAATGTGCCGCCCATGTCAGCAGCTGCCGCCAATAGTAAATTGGCTTACAGCAAGCCGGGCGCTAAGGCAGCGGCGCCGCTTAACGGGCTGCGTCGCAGCAGCAACAACAACGCCAACAACAACAATGCGAAGCCGTTTGTGACGCGCAGCGCTCGGCTGGCTGCTGCTCAGCCACCGCCGCGTCCTGCCAGCAAAGCGGAGTGCTATGGACCGCCCAACAATGTGGCCACTCGACTCTCGGCCCGCTCGCGCACGATGCTGGACATGAATGGGAATGCAGTTGGCGCGGCTGCAGCTGCAGCTGTGATGCCGCGGCCAAGTCTGTCCAGGCGCGTGGGCTCACAGCTAAACGTGACTGGTGCGAGTGGTGCATCGAATCCTAATCTGGGCAAGCGTGCGAGTGCGCCCACCGTGCGTCTGAGCTCGCGCGAGGACATTGCCAGCTCCACGTCCACTCTAAAGGCCAGCAACGAGCAGCTGAGCAGCTCGAGGAGCACACTGAAGCTGGAGGAGCGACACTCGGAGCCCAAGCAGCTGATGGATGCCAACGATGGCTGGCACACGGTCAAGAATCGCCGACGCACGAGCATGCACTGGTCGAATCGCTTCAATCAGCCCACGGGCTATGCCAGTCTGCCCACCCTGGCGCTGCTGAACGAGCAGAAGGAGGAGAAGGACAAGCAGCAGCGAGAGAAAGCCGCAGCAGCAGCAGCAGCTGCAGCCGCCAGTAAAGCTGGCCAAGCCAGCAGCAAGCCAAAGGCAACAGCAGCTGAGACCAAAGCGAAGGCCGGCCAGAAGGCGGCCAAGGTGATGGCGCCACCGGCGTCCAGGCCAGAGATCAAGAATGCCAAAGCCAAGGTTAACTCTTTCCCGGCACAGCGAGCAGGAGCCCAAATAAAAAAGCAGGACAATCAGCAGGAGAAGCACAAGGACAAGGAGCTAGAAAAGAGCAAAGAAAACGACAATGACAAAGAGAAGGAGAAGGGCAAGGACAAGGGAAACGAGAAACACAAGGAGAAGGAGAAATCGAAGCCAGCAACTGCCTTGACWCGCAGCAGCAGCAATTTCACTCAGAATAATACAGCATCTGCGGCAAATGCTCGCGCCACCATTATCAAGCGACAGAAATCGGATCTCACTGGACTTAAGATGACCTCGCTGCACAAGGAGTACATGCGC